CGGCTAATTTTTTGTATTTTTATAGAGATGGGGTTTCACCTTGTTAGCCAGGATGGTCTCGATCTCCTGACCTCGTGATCCGCCCGCCTTGGCCTCCCAAAGTGCTGGAATTACAAGCATGAGCCACCGTGCCCAGCCTCCATCTTTATCTTTTCCTTCTTGTTAGTTTTGTTGTGTTGTGTTTTTTATTTTTCATTAAAAATTTTTTTTTGTAGTCTGGGTATGGTGGTTCACCCCTATAATCCTAGCACTTTGTGGGGCTGAGGCAAATGGACCACTTGAGCCCAGGAGTTCGAGACCAGCCTGGCCAACACGGTGAAACCCTGTCTCTACTAAAAATACAAAAAATTAGCTGGGCTTGGTGGTGCGTGCCTGTGATCCCAGCTACTCACGTGGCTGAGGCAGGAGAATGGCTTGAACCTGGGAGGCAGAGGTTTTGGTGAGCTGAGATCATGCCACTGCATTGCAGCCCGGGTGACAGAGTGAGACTGTCTAAAAAAAAAAAATTAGTTGGGTGTGGTGGTGCATGCTTATAGTCCCAACTACTTGGGAGGCTGAAGTGGGAGGATCGGTTGAGCTCAGGAGATCGAGGCCACATTCCAGCCTGGGTGACAGAGCAAGACTGTGTCTCAAAAACAAAACTGAAACTAAAAGTAATTATTATTAGAGATGGGGGTTGCCCAGGCTGGTCCGAAATGCTTGGGCTTAAGTGATCCTCCTGCCTCAGCCTCCAAAGTGCTGGGATTACAGGTGTGAGACACCATGCCAAGACCATCTTGATCTCTTTCTGTGTCTTTCTGCCTTTTCCTCCAGGTCCGCTGTCTGCCCATCCTTTTTCCCCACCCCTCCCCTATCTGTTCATCTGTCTGTCTGTCTGCCTTTCAGTCTGTCTCTCTCCCCTTTGTCAACCCAGCTCTCCCTTTCCCACCTCTCTCTGCATCTGTCTCTTCCACTTCCAGTTTCTCCCTCCCTGTGTCTGTCTGTCTTACGTCTCGTTTGTGTGTTTGCCCGTCTCTCCTGGTCTGATTTTCTCTCCTGATCTCTCTCCCCGCTCTCTTTCTGTCCACCTGGCTCCTGCCTCCCTCACTCTCTTCCTTCCACACTCTGTCTTTGTCCCTTGGAATCTCCCAGGGAGACCCAGATGAGAAGGTGACCGGCCCCTCTCCCTTTTCCTCCCGCCTGCAGCGAGACGGTCATCTGTTCCAGCCGGGCCACTGTGATGCTTTATGATGACGGCAACAAGCGATGGCTCCCTGCTGGCACAGGTCCCCAGGCCTTCAGCCGCGTCCAGATCTACCACAACCCCACGGCCAATTCCTTTCGCGTCGTGGGCCGGAAGATGCAGCCCGACCAGCAGGTACAGCTTCCCGCAGGCCCCTCTTTGCGGGCTCAGCCCCTACGTGCCCCACCCCTGCGCCTGCCACCCCTCACCCTTCCTTTCCCCTCCCACCAGGTGGTCATCAACTGTTCCATCGTCCGGGGCGTCAAGTATAATCAGGCCACCCCCAACTTCCATCAGTGGCGCGACGCCCGCCAGGTCTGGGGCCTCAACTTCGGCAGCAAGGAGGATGCAGCCCAGTTTGCTGCTGGCATGGCCAGTGCCCTAGAGGCGTTGGAAGGTCAGAAACAGCGGTGGGCAGTGGGTGGGCAAAGGGGACCACTGAATGCGGCTTTGTGGCCTCAGGCTGCCGGTTTACCACTCTGGGACTTTGCTTACTCATTGGTAAAATGGAGCAAATTCATTGCTATCATGGAAAATTATCATGAGGATTTTGTGCGTTCCAGTGTGCCCGTGCACACCTATGCATAAAATGCACGATTGGCCTAGCGTGGTGGCTCATGCCTGTAATCTCGGCACTTTGGGAGGCCGAGGCAGGTGGATTACCTGAGGTCAGGAGTTCAAGACCAGCCTGCCCAACATGGTGAAATTGCATCTCTACTAAAATAGAAAAATTAGCTGGGCGTGGTGGCAGGCACCTGAAATCCCGGCTACTTGGGAGGCTGAGGCACGAGAAGCACTTGAACCCAGGAGGTGGAGGTTGCAGTGAGCCGAGATCGTGCCACTGTGCACTTCAGCCTGGCGACAGAGCAAGACTCCTTCTCAAAAAGAAAACAAACACACAAAAAATGCATAATTACTCAGGGATCAGTACTCCATGAAGTTTACACAGGCACACTCCTGGCAAACCACCTCCCAGATCAAGACATAGGTAGGTACCGCCCCAGAAGCAGGATCTCGCTCTGTTGCCCAGGCTGGTGTGCACTGGCACAATCATGGCTCTCTGCAGCCTCCACCTCCTGGGCTCAAGTGAGCCTCTTGCCTCAACCTCCTAAGTAGCTGGGAATACAGGTGTGCATCACCATACCTGGCTCTTTTTTTGAGACAGAGTCTTGCTCTGTCACCCAGGCTGGAGTGCAGTGGTGTAACCTCAGCTCACTGCAACCTCCACCTCCTGGGTTTGAGTGATTCTCCTGGGGGACAAGAGTGAGACTTCATCCCAGAAAAAAAAAAGAGCCTCCTGAGTAGCTGGGGTTACAGGCATGCGCCACCATGCCCAGCTATTTTTTTGTATTTTGTTTTTATTTTTATTTATTTATTTTTTTGAGACAGAGTCTTGCTCTGTCGCCCAGGCTGGAGTGCAGTGGCGTGATCTCGCCTCACTGCAACCGCCGCCTCCCGGGTTCAAACGATTCACCTGCCCT